CAGATGTAAAACATCAGAGGAATGCAGTATGGTGTCATTTGAGGAAACCCTGCTGTCGGGGGGTAAGCTTGTATGAGTCATCCTCCATTCTATTTGTTACAGGTAAATAATTCCTTATAGTCCAAACTATATTGTTACTTCGGTAGCCAGCTAGAAGCATTTAACAAGGAGACAACTAATTTAAAAATATTTATCTATATACACACACACATATATATACACACACACACTCAGCATCAGACTGTATTAGCATAAATTAACCATGAAGAAAATCAGAGATGTCCCATCATTATAAAATGCAAGCTATGTAAAAGGCAAGCTGTTTTCTTTTTTATTATTATTATTATTATTCAAGACTATGAAGTCAGCAGCAAAGTCTTCTGCAACGTCCTGCATTTTCAGGAAATGGTCCTGTTGAGAGGAGCTGTCCAAGGATATTATTTACATATGCTATGAAACATTTTTAAAAATATGGATTTCAACTGCTGCTGTGATATGCACTTTTTTTTTTCCTCAAAAATCCTATCATAGCATTTGATGGGCATTCTGATTGATACACAGGACTTTTCCGCACTAATACTGAAGATGCTATTTTGTTCCTCCTTCATATTCCCTTTAATCTGGTTACAAGTGCACAGATGGTTTCAAGGTGGCTCTTGAGAGAACACTACTAAAAGTTCATGTGAATTATGGACAATGTTCACTTTAAACAAAAAAAAAGTTGGGGAGGGGGTTGTTCCTTTGCAGTATCTGTTCTGTGAAGTTTGTTAAACGTAAAGAAAGCTTAAGTTCTTGTATCTTTAAAGGAAAATCTTATTTAACCCTTTTGTGTTCTAGATTTACTTACACATGTAGCGTAGAGCTCAGTTTTAGTTTAACATTGTGAAAAATATTAAAAGAATCTTGTAACTTTATTCTTTTTCCTCCTGCTAAAAAAAAAGAAATTAAACCAATCAGATTAAAGTTTGAATTCCTTTCTGCCTATTCCAAAAGGTTTTGCTATTTTGCACCATTTCTGCTGCAGCTTCATATAAGAAATACAAATGGGGAAAATACCTACATTAGGCCAGTAACTTCAAGCTGAATTTACAACTGGTGAAATGGGAAAGTATTCTCTGTGACTTTGGAAGGGGAAAATAATATATCTGCTGTGTTTCAGTTTACTGATCTATTGTCTAGGCAAATCTAGCTAAGTCTGTTGTAGTCTGAATACTGTTAAACTTAATTTTGAGGTCAGATACAGTAATCAAATGAACAAGCTGTTCTTGCTCTTAAAGATGCACACTGGGGATCTTATCACTGGCATGAAAGTAAGTTTTAAAATGTCCTAAGTATTCTTCCATGCTTTTAAACAATTTCTCCGCCTACAGTAGCTCTATTCCAAATCATAAGGGGTCATACTTGTAGTGGATAATTAAGAGAATTAAAAAACAATAGCATTATTAAAATGGGGCAAGAAAATGAAGGCAATTCTCTAAATCAATGCTAAAAATTCAGTTTGGAATTGAAATCGAGTCTGATTCATGGGACATGTACCCCCTTTTTCTCCCTCAAATGAATATGGTACTGTCAGTCATTATTAGACCGTGTGATTCTTGACCCACCTGGCTCTGTTCCAGCAAAGGTAAGTCGTGTAAAAGAGCTCTGCCTTTTTGTCAAATTGCAGATGTATAACTAGGTGTGCTGCAAGATTTCCAGGAAAAATAGGAAGTGCCCATCAGGGTTGGCATTGCAGAGTCTTTTCTAAATTGTACTTTTTTCAGAGCGGGTTAGTGTGTTGAATGAGAAGGATTGTATCTGTGAAATGAGGTATTTGAGAGCATCAGCGACTTGGCGGCAGCGCACAGGCAGTGCCCGGAAGGAAGGAAGGAATCCTGGGCAACTGTAACGCTCCAGAAGTAATAGTGGCTGCTTTTATCTGCTCTGTGGAAGGTGTTAAACAGGTTCAAAACTTTTTTTTTTTTTTAATAAATTGTAATCCCTTGGCCTGTTTATATTTAACTTTGTTCCCATTTTGGCGTTGAGTTCCTGATACAAATAATTACAGTTCTTTCCGTGACTGTGCTACAATTTATGTATAAATGATCATCCCAGTACAGAAACTCCCTAAGGAAGAAAACTGGTGTCATAATTTTTTTAATGGATTCTAAGAAATGCATCAATGGAATAATGGACAACATCAGTGCTCATGCTGATGGAAATGCAGTTAAGTGCTGACAAACATGAATTTACATTCTCTTGTCCTAGCTCTTGTCCTAGTGTGGATACTGAAATTGTCAAAAAGCATAAGAGCAAAGAGAGGATCTGCCTGAGATACTTCCTTAATCTGACAGATTGCAGATGGAGGGCACATACAGTTTTGTGTGTGCCTTGGCAATTTTC